AATAACAGGATCCAGAAAAAAAGGATCCATCTTTCTCCAGTTAGTCATGTAGTAGATTGTTCATCCTCACATGCATGATACTAGAGGCCAATCACTATCTGAATACAATCAAATCATTTCATGCCACCATATTTCATATATTCTGCAATTCCAATCATAGTAATTTTCCAGAGTAGACAAAGATAATGATGGTTATGATACGAAGAGCATAAAATAATCAGATCACACAAGTACACCCAGAACAAGAAGTAAGTTCTTTAGCAAATCCTATCATGACAATGTCTTGAGATGAATAATTGCTCCGGTAGTTGTTAATTCAGTCACATACACTAAAGCAGCATTTATGACGCGTATGAGATTTTGAGCAAGCAGCCATGATTCACAATTCCGAGAATGAGCATGTGTATGAACATTTAACTGTATAGAAATTTCCAGGGTACTAGGTATATACTATTTACAACAAACACATAAAATGGCGACACGGTAGAGATCGAAGATTTCACACGACCTGTAAAAACGAACTTATCCAAAATTTGCCTCACACCTAAAGCAATACTCATACTCATACTACTGTTAACTATATATTATAGGCCCAGCCCATATTGCTTAAGGCCCTAAGTCTATATATATGTGGCTATCCTCACTTGTGCATATTCATACATCCAAAACCCTAAGGTTTGTAACATGGTATCACAGCCTTACACATAAATATTTTTTTTTTCGATCTCACCTCCCACACCAATCAAATCGCCGCCTCGAGATCGACCTTCCGGCGAAGTTTCGCCGTCAGAAGCCGCGCGTGTGACCGCCGAAAGTTTTCTGCCGTCAATCCTACGCGCCGGCGCCTGAGGGCGCGTGGCTGGCCGGAATTTTTTCCGGCGACCATCCGTGAACTCGGAATTTTGTGCTCGTGCTGCCAGCGTTCTTTGTTTTGTGTTTCGGGAGGTTTTGGTGTTCGTTTTGTGCATTTTCAGATCCGACATTCTTCGGGGTTAGGGTTTTTGTACTCTAATCTGTCCCGACCGTCGTCAATTTCTGTTTTTTGTTGTCACTCGCATATCGTGTGCCTCAACGCTACCCGTCGCAGCGCTTTCATTCATACTTCATCGCGGCTCGTTGCTACGTGTTTGTCAAATCATGTCGCAACTTCATGGAATTGCTATCAATATTACTCTTGATGGCCAGAATTATCGGGAGTGGGCTTTCTCTGTTGAAACAGTGTTGAGGGGTTACGGTTTGGCTTTTCACTTGACTGATGAAGGACCCGAAAGGAAGGCCGATAATAGCAATGCTGCCGAAATCAAAATATGGCAGATCAATGATGGAAAAGTGATGGCTGCCATCGTCGACAGTGTCAAGCAGTCCATGATTATGAGCCTTTCTTCATTTCGGACAGCCAAAGGGATGTGGTCCTATTTGCAGCAGCGCTATGTTCAGGATAGTGGTGCTCTCTTACACACCCTTATGCAAAAAATTCACGTGATTGAACAGAACTCCATGTCCATTAATGAATACAACTCTGCTTTTGATCGTTTGATGGGACCATTGATCTCTATGGTATCTCAGTGCTCGGCGGAGGAGTGTTCAGCACATAAATTTGTTGAGAAAAATTTGTTGAGAAGTTCTTTATTTATCGCTTTGTCATGGGCGTCAGAGTAGAATTTGAGTCCATTCATACACGGTTGCTTCATAACTCCTCTACTCTGACCATGGCACAAGCATTATCTGAATTAATTGCTGAAGAGACTTGTCTCCATTCTCTGTCAGTTGCTCCGCCGTCTGTATCGCAGAGTGTTCTGGCAACTCCTCAAAGGACATTTTCTCAACGGCTTAGTGCACCCAGAGGTGACTCTCCAGAACCCTATAAGCATTGTGGGAAGACCGGTCACAGTCACGAGAATTGTTTCACTCAGCATCCAGAAAAGTTAGCTGAGTATCGTGCGCGTCGTGCTGCTCGGGCTCGTGGTACGACTTCTGCTACAAAGGGGTATGTTTCCGTCACTGCTGCCTCTCCTGTCCATGCTCCTCAGTCTTGGGTCCTCGATTCTGGAGCATATTTTCATGTGACATCTGATCACTCCCAGTTGATTGCCTGCAAGGCGGTCCCCGATGGTGCTTCTATTCAGACAGCTGATGGCACTTCTTACCATATCACTCATGAGGGTTCTCTCTGCAATTCTCGTTCTTCAGTGCCTAATATCTCTTATGTTCCTAAATTATCTATGAATCTTCTTTCCGTTGGTCAGGTCACTGATCAAAACTGTTCTGTTGGATTTGATGATTCATCTTGTTTTATTCAGGATCGGGGACTGTGATTGGAACTGGCCATCGCCGTAAAGGTTCTCCGAGCCTCTACGTGTTAGACACTTTACATCTCCCCTCTGGTTCTACCGCTCGTGTGTCATCCATTGCCTCGTCTTACTTTTGTCAAGTGGCATCATCGTCTTGGTCATTTGAGTGGGTCTCGTTTGTCTACTTTGATTAGTACTGGTTGTTTAGGTCGTACATCTATCGAGTCTAGTTTCCATTGTAAGGGTTGCAAGCTCGGAAAACAGCTGCAACTCCCATATCCTTCTAGTATTTCTCATTCTGCTAGACCTTTTGATCTTATTCACTCTGATGTATGGGGTCCGTCCCCTATTTCTACAAAAGGTGGCAATAAATACTATGTTCTTTTTATTGAGGATCATTCTCGATATACTTGGGTTTATTTTATGAAACATCGTTCTCAGTTGTGTTCCATTTATAAAGATTTTGTTCGCATGGTTCATACTCAGTTTTCTACTCCTATTCGAGTTTTTCGTTCTGATTCTGGCGGTGAGTATATGTCTAACAATTTTCGTCAATTTTTGCTTCTGAGGGTACTCTTGCCCAGCTCTCTTGTCGCTCTCTTGTCCTGGTGCACATGCTCAGAATGGTGTTGTAGAAAAAAAACACCGCCATCTCATTGAGATTGCTAGAACCTTCTCATTGCCTCATTTGTTCCTTCTCATTTTTGGGGAGAAGCTGTGTAGAACTGTTTATCTTATTAACCGACAGTCGTCTTCCAAACTGTCTGGTAAGTGGTCTGGTAAGGTTCTTTTTGGTATTCCCCCTAACTATGATCATCTTCGGGTCTTCGGATGTACATGCTATGTATTGCTTGCTCCTCGTGAGCGCACTAAACTGACTGCTCAGTCGGTTGAGTGCGTCTTCTGGGATATAGTTCTGAGTATAAGGGTTATCGTTGTTATGATTCTTCCGCTCGCCGCATGCGTATATCTCGTGATGTAACTTTTGTCGAGGATCGTCCTTTCTTTTATAACCCATCCACTCCTCCCACAACTTTTTCTTCAGAGTCTACGTCATTTTTATGTCTTCCTCCTATTTCTTTTCTTGATGATGATGTCTCTGTCTGACTGTCTCTTCTCCATGATGAGCCTGCACCACCTAATTTTGATGAGCCTCCACCATATAAACAACTCATCACACAAGTCTACACTCGTCGTTCCAAAGGTCACACAACGCTTCCGCCTGAGTTTGAGGGGGGGGTTGAGGGGGGGTGTTAACTATATATTATAGGCCCAGCCCATATTAGTTAAGACCCTAAGTCTATATATATGTGGCTATCCTCACTTGTGCATATTCATACATCCAAAACCCTAAGGTTTGTAACAACTACATGTTCCACAACTAAAATTTCCAGAAGAACCATTTCCACATAGATGAAGTAACATATCAACGAACAACTACAAAATACAATGAATATCAGTAAACAGCCAAGAAAAAACTGACCTGCGTAATTTCTCACAGTTTCAACTCTGGCCACTTCCTTGGCCAATGCCTGCAACTCCTCTCCCATCCCTCTCTTCGATCCTCCTCCTACGAGCAGCAAAACAGCCAAACAGGCATCAAATCAGTATCCTCCAAACAAAAAAAACCCTAAAATTTCAAATTACCCGATGGAGATTGAGTGGAGATGAGGCGAAGGTCATCCAACTGAGCGCGGACACTGGAGAAGAGCGACCCAACGAGGTCCGAATTCGATGAGTGTCGGGTCAAGTGAGACCGGAGCTCTTCGTTGAGTTCGGAGAGGGTCCGATCGAGGTCATCGGATTCGGTCTGGAGCTTCGACAGCAGGGTCGGGGCTCCATCGAGGTCCTCTCTTGAGCTTAGGGTTGAGTTTAGGAAATAGAGTGCTTGCGAGGAGAGAGATGCGTGCGGCGGTAAGGGTCGGGTCAACGGATCCTCCATCGATCGGGCCATCAGTTTGACGGTCGGAAGGAATGAAGCACAATTGGACGGGAAGAAGCTGGAGTGAACTTGGCCTGTACGGATTTGCAGTTTAGTCCCTCATTTTATCTTGTGGTTCCATTACTACCGGGAAAAACTATGTATATCACTTATTTCACACTTATCACCCTTTCCAGTGTTTCATGCCCAAAATGCACTTTATTTATTGTTTTAAAATATATGTATACTGTTAAATTAAAATTTAATAAATAAAAATTAATATAAACAAACTTATAATATTTTATGTAATAAATATGCATTTTTATTATTGAAACAAAATAACGAGTCGACTCATCTAACAATTAAAATATCTCATACAGTAATCAAGTCAATTAGACCGTTAATTACATATAAGAATTTCTATTTAGTTTTTAGTCCAATGTTTATACTATATATATTTTTCACTCTCATGTCATAACAGGCTTTTGTAATCTAATAAAAATGATAAACTTGTTGTACGGACTATGAAGTTTTTTTTGTTAAGAAAGGTAAAGGTATGAAAACTGTAATAATATTTTTATGCACAAGTTAACTGGAATAACAATCTGAAACAATAAACCAACCTAATAGTTTAAAATATTAACTCCAACTAAGATTTTCTCCTTTTTCAAAGTATTAAGAATACTAATTTTGGGATTTGATTGGTATTATTTCTATTTTTCATTTTTTTTTTTTTAAGAAAAAGGAAAAGTCGGTACAATAGATATTTATCATTTTTCTGGTAATGCATGAAATGCATCTTCTTTGTTTTTGAATGTATGAAAGTANGTCACCATAACTTGAAACACAAATGTTTAAAGAAATCCAGTTTTATCAACATGCAATAATACAACAAATTGTTTCATAAATAACCCTCCCTTCTCTTCTGCAATAGTTTTTGCAGCAAACCATTCATTTAAAACGGAGCTACATATAGTGAAGAAGTAGAACCCAAATCTTAGGGTCAATTATTAAGATCAAAGTGCAGGAACATTATGGACTAGCCGGTTGCTGTTGCGTGATGCAGTGGATGTTTCCTCCACCGAGTACAATCTCACGAGCTCCTTCAACTCTGACAATCTGAAAAAACGGAGGGTAACTGAGAAATCAAACATTGAAAAAAAGAATGTAGAAAGAAAAATAATAATAGGTTAACAGTGAATATGATTAAAAAATACTTGCCTCCTTCAGCTTCTTAATTATTGTATTGACAATATGCATACAAGCTAATACAACACCTTGAATTTTAGTTATCAAAGAATTTACAGCTAGCAACAAACAAGGGAAAAATGCACCTTTCTTAAGTGAATATACTTGAGTCTGTTTCATAAAATTTAATTTGAGTTCTAAAGACTCTCAGCGAATTTGCATATTACGAAATATGCAACATGGGAGAAGGTTTTGAAAATAAATTCCCAATTTCTTGATACAGTATATCCTTAATCAATTCCCAACTATATCAAACTGTATAATACCAGAGATACAATTCAGAACAATAGTAAGTAAAAACTAAAAAGACAATCAAAAGTCTTGATTTTCAACAAATCTGTAACCAGGATACATTATTGGAAAAAGAACTCGACTTCCTGACCTCATAATCTGGAAATGCCGAGGACAAAACGCGAACAGCTTCATCATCCCACTTCTTATCGCCAAACTGGGGTGTAATAATTGCTCTATTAGCAAAGTAGAAGTTTATATATGAAGCCGCAAGCCTTGTGCCGGGAACCCTATCCTTAGCATCACCATCCTATAGTTCCAATAAAAACAAAATAGAATAGAAAAAAAATGTGTATATGAGATGATGGAGAGCAAGGACCACATAGGATACTAGAAAAGACTCTTCTGCATTTGCGACGCATAATATTGACGCTTTTTTAATTACAATGTAATGTAAGGCATGAGATTCTCCCACATGCAGACTTAATTGCTATCTTCATTTTATACAACACAGGAAATTCCTTATTGTCTACAACAAAAAACTGCGTGAAAGGAACAACATTGATTTTTTTTTTTTTATTATTACAATATATACATATATATATATATATAACCTGTTCGAGCCCAGCAGCCTCCTCATCTGTCATATAAAGTGGACCGGGCACATGGAGTTTGATAATTTCTAATTTTCTACCTCTAGCATCCGTGGCACTTGTAAGAACTGAAAGGGCCTCAACAGATCTCTCGTATTGTGGGTCTGATTCATCATCGGTCCATGACAATAAGACAACACCAGGCCTTGCGAAACAGCACATGTTATCAATATGGCCATTAGTGTCATCATCACCTGCAAATTACATGGAAAAGTAAGTTTGGGAATGGTACAAGTTTTAGCTTTGGTAAAATACTAGACGGTATAGTAGGAAATAGGAATGTCGTCCGGGATTAAAAGGTAGATAATAAAGAAATTAAAGGCTTGTGCATGACACTGGATATAAGAGTAATTACAACATTTTTACTGAAAGTCAAGGGTTTAAGTACATATTATATAATCTATCATCCTTTTCCTTTGGATCAGGCAGGTAGAACCAATGTAATGCCAAATGTAAAGTGCCAAATGTAAAGAAGAATACTGAATACCATATAACCCACGAGGCAACCATATGATCTTCATAACTCCAAGATATGCTTTGAGCTCATCTTCAATCTGTGCTTTGGTTAAACCAGGGTTTCTGTTTTTATTCAGGAGGCACTCTTCTGTTGTAAGGCATGTCCCTGAAAGAAAAAAACAAAACACATGAACAATTTTTTTCATGTAACATATATTTAAGGACGAAATGGATAACCTAGAATCTGCACTCTCCACGAAGTTAGATGCTCATATCAACACAGGAAGGCCAAAAGGTTCTTGCCTATTACATTATTGGAATATGAAAAAGGTCAGCAGTTCAAAGCAAATAGTAACTACAATTTTACGAAGTATGAATGCTGGACAGTACTAGGAAATCATAGTAACGGTCTAGATTTCGACTTCATTCTCGCATACAATCAGTTTTTAAACTATTTCTATATCCATTATCTGACAATAAGAATAATATACTAAGCGCAAATAATTTTGCATTAGTGACATTCTCTTTACTTAACTGGAGGGCTAGAAGCCAAATGCTGATCAGACGTTAAAATCCAACTCTATGTCACACAGTAAAACGATCGAATATAACATGGGTTTTTTGGTTTCTTCCATAAGCACTTCTGGTTTCTTCCATATGTTGACAGTACACTACTAACTAATATCATCATAATTACAAGTTTGTTTATCACCTGCAGCTGAATACAGTGGAGGTAATGGTAAGAACCTCAATGATTACCCTAATGGATACAGAATTTATAAGGTAGTAGAAAAACAGATCAAACATATCAACCATGGTATAATAAATAAAAAATCAAATACCTTCTCCATCTACGTGAATGCTTCCGCCTTCAAGGATCATAGAATGGGGAAACCTCGGAGTCTTTTCAATTTCCAGAACCTACAATGAATAATATGTTAAAAACCAAACATGAAATAGTGGTAAGAACATGCACATGAACAAAATAAGACATGAACTGACCGACCTTTCGAGCAATAAGTAGGTCAAGGCTCCAGTCTTCATAACAACCTCCATCTTTTCCTGTACAAATCAAACAGAACAGGTTTGTTCACAATCTTTTTCGTGTAACTTAAGATGAGTGCATAATACAGAGTAGATGTTCCTTTAATAGAGGAAACATATGTCGATGCACTTATTTATCCATACAGATATAAATAGTCGAAACTTGAACTCAATTGATAGCAGAATGTTATTAAAACTCCAGAAGCTAATCACATAAGATCAAGAGGAGTAAACTCATTTAATAAACATAGGGAGCAGGTTGATTTATTAATTAAAAAAAGAAGCACCAAAAATATATCATCTAAATTACAACGTTTGGATTTCACATCTCTAGAAACCTTATCAGAATCTCATAGTACATCCTTCAACATGATCGACCAATGTGCACGTAATATCAAGAAACTGGATTCTGAACAACACTGAAATAACTTACCTTACAGAAAACCTAATATAAAGCTAAGAATTTAACCATATACATAAATTTATTTGCACCCTTAAACCTTATAATTATCAACTCCATTATTGATGTACATAACTCAAAGACCACATAGTTCCAAAGGTATTAGCATTAGAGAAGAAAAAAAAAATTGATAGACCAACCAATTTTGGTACAAGTTTAACAAATAATCAAGGTAGAGTCAAACTCCTATTCTATCAGGCCAATACAATACTTAATAAAGAAAATGTGATATCCATTATAAATAATGCTCAAGCATATCACATTCATTGTTCACATTCTGGGATCCTTTCAGTTCATTCTCACACAGTGTGCTTACCACCATAGCTATTGAAATTCCAATCAATTCCTGCAACCTTGTGACCCAGCTTCTCCTCACTCGATAAAGTATTTCTGATAACAAACTGCCAAAAGAAGCACCACTCTTTAAATTAAATTTCAGTGAGAAGAAACACTGATTAGTTAGTTTAAACAATTGAGGAAAAAAGCTCACTGTTGGACCAGTGTCACGGAACCAAGAATCGTTCATGCTCATCTCAACCACCCTAATATGCTCTGGCAACTGACTGCGCGCATTGTTCCACTGCCCAGAAAACCTTACATTCATTTCGAAGAAATAAATAAAACAACAAAAAATAATGAGAACATGATCATCCTTACCTGTGCATGACTTGCACATACAGTAACAGGTTCAAATCTTGAAATAGCTGTAGCAACTTTGGCGAATGCCCGTTGAGCATGCACTCCATGATCACGCCAATTGTCAGGTCTTTCCTATGAACCAAGTCAAGAAACAACAGAAAATTGCCTTAATATGTTATTGCCTAGCTTGTAGGAGAAAACAATCATTGATCATACAGATGAATAAAAATCTAACTGAGCCAGGGGGTGAATAAGCTGAATTATACATATTCAAATACGGCAAGTAGGGACGGATTTGAATAAGCTGAATTATACATATTCAAATACGAGTTATCACACCAAACTGAATACGGCAAGCCTTCTACTAGACCGGCATACTCTTTCAACAAATATGCATACTTTCATTAAAAATGTCATCATATATTCTCAAAACAATATAAACAGAAGTATGACAATTGATAGTGTAAGTATGTTTTTTTTGTTCACAAAGTATGATGTCCACCTGTTAATCAGTCAGGGCGCCACACACAAGAATTTGTGAAAGGTTTGCCAATCAAAATGCCACACACAAGAATTTGTGAAAGGTTTGCCAATCAAAATGAAAAAAACAGATAAACCCACAACTCAACAGAACAATTTTTCCAAAACACAGGTAAGATTTTCCTCATTAATTACAGGCACCTACGACAACGGTTTAAAAAACTCATCGCCATACACAACAACAGAAAAAACCCACAAAACCAACATAAAAAAGGTAGGGTTCCAGGTGAAAATCAGGCGAAAACGAGAAGAGAAAACTCACAGGCCATCCAATCCAGCACTGGGAATGGGGTTCCCACTCCGCAGGCATGTGGTATCCGTGCTCGACCGGCGTCCCCTTTAGCTCCATTACAGCAGTATGTATAACTCTGCAGGTCAAATTTCGCAGTATACTGAGACCCTTTACGCTCGACAGTGCCAGTTTGGGTTGAAGGATTTATCAACTGAGATAAAGGATGACATGAAAAATGGGGCAAATCTGAAAATGCAAATCACTTCAGCTCAAATCGGATCACATGCCGACAGCTCAAGAGTATTCGTACTGCTACGGCAGAGAAAGGAGGTGGGGTACAGGGTACTATCATGAAAGGACCCAACAGAAATGGGCCCAACAAAAATGAAAAGTATTTTTTGGCTCAAAACGGATCCAACAAAAAACAAAAGATTCCAAAATTGGAGATGCGGGTATCGATCCCCGTACCTCTCGCATGCTAAGCGAGCGCTCTACCATCTGAGCTACATCCCCTTATTGTCAAGGAGTGGTTATTTTAGCAATATATCTGCTTCATGCTTAACTTATGATGCCAAATAAAGTGGTCAATCAATTTTTTTCAAACGGAGTGGTTTTTTTTTTTTTTTTCCTCAAACGG